CAAAGCAAAGCACTTTAAAGTAAACAATGAATAAATAAAACACAAGGGAAGCTCTAGGGCAGCTAGCAAACCCATAGCAAACCCATGGCAAACAAGATCTGTGCTTGAAGAAAGTTGTGGACTTGGTCACTGCAACTTTGCTCAATTGGGGTTCACACTTGATAATTCCCATGGTGTAACTTATTCTTCTCTTCTCTTTTCACTACTCCCACTGATATTTTGTTTCTAGGCTTCAACTCGGTTTTCCAAATCGAATTTCTACTTGAATCCAACTGTCGGTCACTCAATTCCTTTATCTCTAGTCTCTTCTGAACGATTCCGTTAGTCTTTTCTTCAACACTTCTTTCGTATCTTTCTTTATTTTAGCTTTTAACTTTTCTTTGTTTGTCTCATCCAGATCAAGCAATCAATCTTCAATCAGCTCTTTACTTTGCTATTGTATCCTTTATTGGTCAGTTCATTATTTTCTATTCTTGTCTCTCATCCTATCTTAAACTAACAACAATACTCTTTTCTCTTTTCTTTCTTTAGCTCGATCGATCATCTTCTTACTTCTGTTCTCATCATCAACTTCTTACTTCAGTTTTCACCTTGTTCAATTAATTCACAAGGCTTTTAACCATCATTCCTCTAATCTCTCAGCAAGTTCTTCTTTCAATCTAGTAAGTTTCAAATGTCCTTCTTTCTTTCTTTCAATCTCATCACTTTATAACTAATATGTATTATCTTTTCTTCATCTTCTTTGTTTCTTTTCTGCAGCTACTTTTCTTTTATATTGATCGCTAAATAGGTCAATCCCCCTTTCTTTCCCTCTACTCTCTTCTCTCATTTCTTATTCTCCTTCCTACCACACCTATAAACCCTTTTATCAAATCTAAACTCCCTTCTTATTAATATAGATATTCGATTTTTTGTGATTTTCATTATAACTTCTCTATAGTAATTTGTAAACAAAAAATTAATATGCCTCTTTATTTTATTCTTAATAATGTACCTTTAACTTTGAGATTGAAATTAAATTGAAAGAAAATGAAAAAAAAAACTTGAAATTAATAACTATTGAAAATAAAGATGGTTTTACTCGGGAGGAAAAGGTGAGATGATTGAGGTATAAACATCCCACCACAACAGGTGAGCCATTGGACCAGAGTTCTCACCTGTTCATCTGGTGAGATGATTCATATGGTCATGGTATAAGCCTCTTTGGACAAGATTTCTTGTGCCATGACCATATGAGGATTCTCGCCTGATGAACAGGTGAGAATCCTCATATAATGGACGGGTGAGCCATCACCTTGTGGACACATGATCACATCAGGTGTTGGCCACCCTGAGCTTCACCTGAAGCTCAATCAGTGTGGCCTCAGGTGGAGAGCCCGGGATTTTTTGGCAGAGGGCGATTTCACCTGATGCTCACCTGCCAGCCGCCCCGTGGTGTACCAGAGCTACAAGCATAGTCCCTTCCAGCTTTAACCGAAGCTGATAACACTTAGGGAGACGACGATCGCATTGTGGTTGGCTTGACATGTGCCATTGCGAAGGGCCGTGCTTCTGTAGTGTTTATCCGTCTCAGTCTCACTCAACTTCAATGACACAAAATGTGAATCGGTGGTTGAGTTTACTATATCACCAGCCATGAGTGGCAAGAGGCGGGAAGCTTGATTAAAAGAGCAAATGGTGTGAATGATTTCCTGACTTATATGGCAGGCATGAGTACATAGAGGGTTGCACAACGCTTAATTTTGGGCATACTTGTAAGACTATGAGAGATTGTCGAGGGTGACGAGCTTCGATTGAACATCCGTGCGGAGATCGGGTAAGGAGACAATCAGTAGCACCTGAGAGGTACAAGAGAACGCTTAAATGAAATCGAAATGCAGCCCAGCTATGACAGGACATTCGGCCGAATTTGATACAATGTAAGGCGAGATGAGATGTAGCATCCCTAGAGCGAGGTAGCACACAAGTTTCATAGAGCGGATTACCATCCACCTGGAGCTGCGTCACCAGCGTTGGGGCTTCCACGACCGATACCAGCAAACTTGGGGCGGAAACCACCTTCAGCGTTACCACCGTCCTTCTTACGGTATCCTTCCCGATCACCTCCCTCGCCTCGTGGGGGTCGGTAGGCAGCAGTAGATTGTTGAGGACGTCCAGCAGGGGTTGATCGTTGAACTTTCTTGAAGGTGGCGGGGACAATCTCGGAAGGAAGGTTTAACCTGGAAGTTGGGCAAACAGAATCTCAGGAATGTTGATCGAGTGTGGGCTAGAATTGAACTGACCATTCTCGGAGGTATTCGATACCCTCATCGGTAAGTGTGTAGTAGTAGTACTGAATGAAGTAATGGGGAAAATCAAGCAATGTCAGGTTTACAAATCATAAAGGAGAATAAGGAGCTAATAGACTAACATTCCATGAGAACTGGGTCTTGATGAAACCACGTGAGTTGAGAGATTGGCAAGCCTTGATCACGTGTAGGTTGGGGACTTCAAGCTCCACATGCTTAGGAGCGTTGTAGTCCTTTTGAGCGACCATGACACCATCCTTGAAGAGGTTCTCGTAAATTGTTCGCCGGTCTTCCTTGGAAATGATCATCTAACAGCCAAAATTATTGATGTGGATCTCATCAGCATTTGACACGGGTTGCAGTAGGGATGTGGTTCACTGACCTTGCCGAAATGTCTTGAAGTCTTGACTTCAAAGTTGATAAAGGGATCGGTCGAATTGGGCGAAAAGGATGGCGTAGGTAGTATCTTTGTCTCAATCTGCCCGACAGCTAGCGGTACCGGTTGGAAGTGGCAGGATTTAGACCAATATCATTGTTTGAAACCTAATCACCCCGGCTCGAGCTCTCGATGAGTCGGCCCCGAAGCGTTGCGCGAGAGTGGGATGCACATCGTGATGCGGCCAGGTGGTGCAGGTACATATCCTCCTCCCACCTTCAATCTTCAACCACCTTCAATAGCTTGCCGGACGCAATCTGATCATCATGTCATGAGCTTTCATAAAGACAAAGCTGTACTATGTACCCACAGAAGTCATATGGGATGCGCTTCCTATTTAAAAACTCACGACATTCATTTGTGAAGTCTTATTGAGAGCAGAATGCTTCCAGAGGCTCGAACAGGACACATGAAGACTCGTATGTTGAGAGGAAAAATATTAACCATTCTGTCAGGTAGGAAAGTAAGAAGGTAGGGAATGATACTTGACTTCAAGTGCTTGCTAGGCTGCTTGAAAACTTTCTCTTCTTGCTGGTCTTTGGAATATTGGTTAGTGATGACTTCTGACTCAGATGGAGCAGATGATGGATTAGCAGAGCATCTAGACCCGCGGCTTCTAAATTCTATGAAGATGCGTGCTTGTTGAGGCTCTAATTATGACCCTCAAGGAGCTGCTCTTGTTCCGCAAACAAAAACAGTGGATCTAGGAAGACATCGCTACACACTGAATTCCAAAGGCCAGCAAGAAGATGAAGTGTTCAAGTAACCTTGTACTTGTATGCAAGTGGAATGAACTTGTCCAACCAGATGAACCATTTATCAATCTCACATTGTCAAGGAAATTACCAATGTCTTTTCAAGGAAAAATATCCAACTGAAGCACCCAGGAAGCGGATAGCACTTGGTCAAGTTAGTGATAAGGTCATGTTTGCAAAAGTTCATGCATTACAAAATTATTCCAATATAATATTGAACTTATACGATATGCCCTATGAGGATTCTAACTGTGTGAGCAGGGTTTTGTCTACGATCTTACTCAAGGAGATATTTCTTCAGCTCGCAGAGCAATCGTCAGATTGATACATGCTTAACACCCAATGTGAGATCTGAATATGCCAATCAGAGTACACAGATAACAATCACTGGACTTGAATCATAAACATTGCAAAAACACACTTGAAATACTATTCAGCTATAATACATCACCAAGGCTTTGAACAAACTTATCGTAATCGTCCTTATCAGTTGCTCCACCAGAATTTGTTCCATTCTTTGCTTGCCCATCCACAACAAGTCCATCTCGCTTAAGAGCCCCCAATAGACTTGTCACAAGAGGTTTGCTTGCTGAACTAGGTAGGCTACCCTCCTTTCCATGACTTGCAAGGCTTGTATCATCCCCAGTATCAGGTGCAGCTTGGATACGATTGCTATCTCCCAAACCTGCTAGATCAGCTCGGCGATCCAACTCTTTCTTTTTCTTTCGGATTGCCGATGGAACAAAACTAGTAGCTTCCCGTTTCAGGTCTCTGAGTTGAGGTAGAGCTGTGAGAGTCGCACTGGCCTGCACTGTTGCTTTGTCAGGCCCTGCTGACTGAACCGAAGTAGCCCGAGTCATTGGATTGACTTGAGTGGTTAGCTTTGGGGGGAGCTGAGCAGATGCAGGAGCGACCGGTAGTGGGTGAAAATTACCGAAAGATGGAGGCGGAAGAGGTAGGCCGTTAGGGCCCATTGGGAACGGCAATACTCCGAAGCTCATTGGAGGCGGGGCTGAACCAGGGACGAGGCTTATTGGAGGAGGGTAGAAAGGAGGGGGAGGTAGCATGCTGGGGTGTAAATGGGGTTGCTGAGGTGGGGGACGATTGAAAGCAGGACGACTGATGAAAGGCTCCGCGCGAGGCACAACCGGGACTACAGCAGGTGGTGGGCCTTCGGGGAGAGGTATGTCATCATCATCATCGTCTTCGTCGTCTTCTGAAATCACCGGATCAGGAGGGGGACCTTCTGGTAACGGAATCTCATCGTCGTCGTCATCCTCATCATCCGTACTCTCATCATTTGAGGTGTCCTCGTCGCTTTTCTCTTCCTCGTCTTCCTCGCCTTCTGTTGCTTTGTGATTTTTTCCCGGTAGTTTATTTGAGGGTGTGGACGAAGGATCGGGTATTGAAGGAAGTGTATTTGTTTCCACTGAAGGTTTCATACGCATCGGCATCCCTGGTGGAGGAACACCAAATGGATTGAAAACTGGATCATAGTAGAAACTTTTCTCAGGCTCGAGTAGTTTTCCATCAGGACCGAACCAATCCATCGTTCTAGAATCCTGCCGGCTTGGGCCAGCACTACCGGTCTTGATCGAATGTGATCCTTCGGGAGCCGTCCCGGCGAGTGTCGAAGGTAATCCAGTGGCTGGGTCAATAATAACATGACTGCTTGCATTCAGACCATTGGCGCCTGTTCCATGAGTCGAGTCCTTTGCCTTTCGAAATTGAATTAATTCTGCCTTCAAGTCCTTAAGGCGAGTTTGCTCAGATGTGGTCAACTTCTCAAGATTCTCCAACTGTCGAATTTCAGCTTCAATACCTGTTACATCAAAAGTAGAATGAAGGAATTTTAAGATGAACAGGCTTACTCAATGAAACGTAAAACTGTTGACTGAGAGTTGAACTTGTGGATAAACTTGAAAGCTAATCTCTTCACAAGTGGTTCAAGCTAAAGTTTAACGGAATTGAGTTTTAACTCACTTTTCGTATCTCGTTTAGTGTGAGCTTCTTCTCGCGCTTTCTTCCGTTCAAGTTTATTTCTCTTGATTTCTTTCGCCCTCTGGGCTTTACCTATATTGTGGTGGAAAAGTGATTTCAAGGTCAGTCAAGACGAGTCATGAAGCACGATAAATCAGTTTGCGTACGAAAGGCATCGGCTGGATTGAGCGATTTTGACTTCTTAGCCATGATGGACGATTCTGAAGGTGACGTTGACGGTTGGTGAGCTCTCAAGAATCCAGGATGAGGATGGATTGGATTGCTTCGGGGCTCCCCGAGGCTTCGGGGTGTCGGATCACGACCACGGCAGCGCGTTCTTGCAGGTTCCTGCAGATCACATTCCTCGCAGATAATTTGACATGTTCTTGCCACACTGCGATTGGTGAGCTCACAAATGAAACGAGATTGTTTGAAAGCATGTGGTGCTAGTCAACTTTTACTTGGAAGTCTCATGATTCCAAGTAACGCATGTGAGTCAGATATAAGACCATGACTTTATGAGCTACATACTCGCCTTTGGCCTTCAACATGGAAATATTGGATTGATTCAAAAGCAGGATTTCAGCGTGATTTTATTGTTCAGCTACTGAACTTATAAATTGCTTGGAAGGTAGGAACACGGTTGTGATTGGCTTCCCCCTGATCAGCTATGAAGAAAGACGCGTGTAGAATTTGTGAGTATGTCACTGTGAAGCGGCATGAGACTACAACAAAGATTGGTCCATTGGAATTTTAGAGGAATCAGTGAATGTGCTCATCTTTCATCGGGACAAGCTAGGTAGAACGAATAAAGCATCAAACCGTTTTAGCTGAGAAAGAAGTGAGAACCACTTGCGAACATCTCTCCTTCCTCATTTTGACAGATGTCAAAAGTTCATCAACACGAAAAGCAGTAAATGCGTGACCACATCAAGTTGAAGTAACGAGCAACTATGGGCTCAGAGAATTCAGCAAGGCTCTTCACGTATGTAGACAAGTGAGTTTGTTAAGCTCTTCCTCAGAATTTCTCCTCACATCAATTTCCTGAGTAGAAAAGTTTGAATCAAAGGCGTCTCTTGAGGACTTCACCCGTCGAGAATCTCAGGATACCGCTACGAGATGGTAAAGTTCCATATTAGGAAATCATGATAAGATGTTCAAAAGTAAAACACGCCTTTTTGTCATTTCTTGGGCGCGCGAGTTTACTCATTGATGGGAACGGTTGACTACATTTCAGAACATGGATTAGTAGCTCAGCTGGCCAAAATTGTTTGATGATGGGGGTTCCTCGGCTTGAAGATGTGTATATATAGGCTACCTTCAACATGACAGGATATAGAGCACACAACACATCAAACCCACCACTTCTACCCACTTGCGCTGCGAACTTGGTATGTTTTATCTCCTTTCTCCAATCCACATTCTGATGATTCAGAGAAGTGTCCTAGGATTCAAATCACTGACATTATGCCTTATTTATTCCTTCCTAACAGTATTGTACCAGTTTACCAAACCGAACATCCACCAAAACACAAAACCGCAACCCATTCTAAACCAACATAAACTATTTTACTCGAGGTCTGAGACTTTTGATAATTGTAAATCAAATAGTGACTGTGCAGGACACAGGAATTTCTAGCGAACCAAAATCTTTGAATAGTAAGTAAATATCCTGTTTGTGTTCTTAATTCAAAGCGAACTTCAACCAAACTTAAACTCTCTGAACCGTAAGTCCAAACATATCCCGTTTCTAAGCTTTGAGGAAGAATCATAAACTAATTCATTCAAAAATATGCACTATTCAGTCATTTGTTAAAACAACACGACACAATGCCTCGCAGAAACTTGTCAACCCCCATCTTTGGAGATCCTAAATCACACCCACAACTGTGGAATACTAATGAGATTTGGATCCACCAAGTTCAAATCCGATTCTTCAACGAAGACTTGTATACATTAGGACTGATAAGTCGGAAACCTCTGGTTTTGATGCAGTCTGATGAGAAGGAGACACATATGTCACTGTCACATCAACAGGTCGACCTTACTATTAAAGCGGGTGAGAAATTAAAATGGGACAAAGACAAATACTCAAAGATCAAGAATTTAGAACGGTTTTGTCAGTTTTTGATGCTTATTGATAAATCCTACAAATTATCTAAACCGGATAGATTTTTGGTTCCTTTTTTAAAAGATGGAATTGATTGGAACAGAGTTGAAACTCCTTTCGAAGTCTGCTTTTCAGATCGGAATAGAAATGGAGCGATAACTCTTGGAAAAGTTTATGGGAAGTACATTTTAGAATCACTGACTACTCCGTTTAGGATTAATTTTTTTTCGTCAATCAAGAGTTCGAAGGGAAACTCGAGACAAGGTAATTTCTATAATAGATATTCTGTAGGTTCAAATATCGAAAATAAAAACTGGTTACCTTTAAGATTTTGGGAGATTTCAGACCGCTTAGTTTCATACCTTCGAACCATTCCAGCTATCGACTTCGAACCTGATCTGAGGAGGATGGAAATACTTTCGCAAATCCAGTTGTTTCAGATCCCCGGAAAAAATCATAATCAGGAAGAATATATTGAGCTTGGTAGAAATTTCATCAGAATGGTGATTTCATTAACCTTATTTCATCTTGGAAATGATGATGTAGAATGCCTTACGAACAATCGTGATAAAGAAATGATGAACACAAATATCAAAAGATTACAAGGTATTTTCTTAGAGGACCGTCACCAAAGTAAGCCGATTCAATCTCTTGTCGGAGCTTTCTATTTTCACGAGAATAAAGACTATTTCAAGGATGTTTATGGTTACTTCCACAAGCATATGGATCGCACTCTCAGCTTGGCTAATCAGGTGGGTCTTAGTCATATGAAGAACTGGGAAGCAAAAGATTGGATCCGATATTGTGAAATACATCATCCCCGGAAGCACCCCTTTACTCGCACTGATCAAGAAAAACTATTAGAAAACATTCTGAGGTATACGTTTGATAATATCCACCTATTAAGATACGCACTTGGACAGTTCGGTAAGGATGAATTCCGAAGACTTGAGTGGATAGGTGACGCACTTTTAGCCGATTGGTCTTCACTCGTCATGAAAAAAATCCAGCTTAAATCCCAAAGGAAACTTAAAGTACATACTGCTTCTACATACTTGAATGCAAATCAAACGTTATGGAAATGGTGGGTAAGGTGGGTTGACCCTACAGCTCAAGAACTTCCAGGCTCTAAAAAGCTTGAAGCTATCATAGGTGTTATATATATTGATTGTCAGTGTCGAGCTGACCGGCGAGCTGAATCTGAATCCCCCGAATCTCGTTTTCACGATGTACTGCTGGAAATGTTTGAGGAAGAGATTCAAGATGTCAAATCGAAATCTAAGTACTACGAGAGACGTTGAGCATTTCATCTGTTCAATTAGCCTGTGTTTACTTTAATGCTACCATAAGATCTCTTTGTCTCACTGGATTCTGTTGTATTTATCTTATTTTCAAGATCAGTTTACCATACTAATCTTTGTTTATCACAATAAATCCTTTCTTTCTCTTGTATTCCCATTGAGCATTTTTTATGTTGATATCCAATATCTTAATTATCTAATAACCACCATTGTAACTTGAACAAAGTCCATCAGTGGATTTGAGATTTCCATGGCTTGATGTATGCGGCCCTAGTCTTGAATCTTGATCCTGCTGTTTACCATTCCAAGACTCACCGCATATTTGACATGGTTTGTCTGATCATTCCCGCTCCATCTGGGGTACTCGGGTACACCATTGAATGGTTTCAATCAAATAGATTCATCAGAACCAAGAGCCCAATAATAGCGGTACACAAAATTCAAAACCGCATGAGAATCCGTATGAAAACCCGCATGAAAAACCCGCATGAAACCGCATGCTTTTTTTGGTTTTTTCATGCGGGTTTTTTCATGTGGGTAGCCCTGGAATTTTGAGAGCCCCACACTTCTAAAGGTGTTCCATCAGGTTCCATCCCAGTCAAAGATGCCTAGAATCTCTACCCGCAGGAAGGTCCTCTCATCGATTGACACCGCGATCATACTCTCATCCTCGACAACCTCGACTTCACCCATCTCACCATCATTCCTTCCCACCTTAGTCGCTTCTTTTGCTTCCTTTGGTTTCATGGATTACACCGATGACGATGAAGACCAATCGCGAGTTTGGTTATGAAACACAATTCATGTTCTTTTCTTACATCCTGATGATCTTGTCTACCTTGGGTCAGTTTGCCCACATAAACAAACGCAAGCAAATTCGGGAAAAAGACGAATTGATCCTTGCTGCCCTGTTTCTAACACGAGACGAAGCTCAAAGGCGAAGGTATCTTCTCCCTAGATACCGAAGGCCTCGTGTTAGCTCAAAAGCTTCAACATTTGAAGGTTGGTTTGCTGAAACTGAACGCACTTGGCTAAGCGTGGTAAGTCCAACTGTGGTTCTTCTCTGCGCTGACTCTGTATTTCTAGAACTAATCATCAATCTTTGATACTTGCCTTAGGCTCGCATGCCTAAACCTGATTTTATCAAATTACTGCACAAGATTGGTTCATCTCCAGTCTTTCAAAATAATTCGCATCATAAACAGGCCCCGGTCGAGTGGCAACTATTGGTAGCATTGGCCAATTTTGGATGTTCGGGAAATGGTGGCTCAACACCTATAAAGGCCAAGTTATTTTCTTTGGCTGGTAAGTGAAAAAACTGGTAGTATCAATTGCTGAGACTGACGGTGGGTTGATTTTCACAGAAGGAACTGTAGATAATTACACTAAACGCTGCATTGATGCAATTCTTGAAATTGAGGAAGACTACGTACAATGGCCGGATACGAACGAGCGATTACATATCAAGAATGAAATTGGTCAAAGTTCGTTTTTCAAAAATTGTATTGGATTCATTGATGGAACTTTGGTTCCTTTGGCCACTGCTCCTTCAAAAAACAAGGAGGATTATTATACGCGCAAATCGATTTATGCATTGAATTCGATGATAATTTGTGACCATCAGCGAAAGGTTCTGTATGCACATCATGGATGGTGTGGATCAGCACACGACCAACGAGTATTGAAATCCACTCGCGTGAGTGGATTTATGCAATACCTTCTCTCCGCTTCATGCCCTGCTTATTACATATGCTGATTATACATTCTTTAGTTCTATCAAAACATTTCATCTTACTTTTCTGAGGGGGAGTATATTCTAGCGGATTCCGGGTACGCTTCTACTGAGCACATCGTGCCGGTTTTCAAGCGATCTCGTTTTCATAACCTCTCACCAGCCCAGAACCATTTCAACAATGCTATTTCGAAGATACGTATAGCTTCCAAACACTGTAATGGAATGTTACAATGTTGATTTGGATCATTACACGAGTTGCGATTATGCATCACAAACCAAAAAGATGCACTTTATGCATTAAATGGATTTCAGCCTGCGTTGTGGTGCACAACTTCTTGATATCAGAGGGTTCGGCGATGGTTGGATTGGATAACTTGAATACGTCTGCTGAAACACGGGAAACGGGAGAGGACCTGTCTCCAAATTTCCAGTCTGGGGGTGTCCAGCGCCGGGATTCCTTATTTCAATCTTTTTGTACTTCAAACAATTATTGATTTTTCGGAAATTTGCTTCAATTTCTTTAAGTTTGTGATTTCTGTTGATGTATTTCAATCACATTATGTTTTGAATGTTTCGAAAGGCTGCTGTAGTATCTGATATCTAGATTGTTGATGTTGCAACTCTATAAGTATGCAAGAAATCTCTGGCATCAATTATCTTCAATCAAAATTTCCTCAAAAGGTTGTTTTGATTTGACATAACCAAAACTTACAAGGATATTTGCATTTAAATATAAGCGAGTTAACAGCAGACTCAAGCACAAAAGGCAGGAACACAAACAACTAAGCTAACAATTTGGTAAGACTCGTAAGCCATGTATCAGTTTGAGAATAATCAGCATAATCAAGGACAACGAGTTGAAACATCAACAGAGTCAAGCACAAAAACAAGAAAGTTGAAACATAAACAAATAAGCTGTTGAATCGATAAGAACAACAAGACCACATATAAGATTTTTCAAGCACAACAACAGATCATGTTATGAGTCAAGCTTATGTTTTGATACGATCAGTGATATTACAAGATTCTTAAAATAAATTTTGATGTAAACATTCAAGTTTAAATGATTAAGTAATTGTTTTTGGTGGCGACAAATCACACATCGAGTTTTGAAGAGAGATTAACCAAACACTAACGAACTGCTTGAAATCGAAATCAATCATCGTGTTTTGAAGAGAGATTAAGCAAACACAAATGAACTGCTTGAAATCAATAAGTTTGAAGCCGGTGAAAATAAAATTCGGACATATATCGGTTAAGTACTACTTGGTTTAATGTTGATGTGATGTAAGAAACCATGAAAAGTTCTGAGAAGTCCCTAGGCGATATAAGGTCATTAACCCGAAAAGTTTGATCTTTATGAATCATTGGAGGTGGAGTTTGGCGTGTGTGAATGATCAATATCGGGCAAATGGCGCAAAGCCATTTGTTCGGCAGCCGTTGGGTCCATTCCTTTGCCAATGAGGTCGACAATCATTTGACTACGTGCTAGAGCACGTTTCGTGTTCATTTCCTCAAAAGCTATCGACTTCTTCATCGCTAGTTCTTTTTCACGGTTAGTAGTGATCATAGTGGACATTGAATTGGCTAGTTTGATCGTAAGGTTCTCTTGAGTACGTGCTGCACGCTCTTCACTCTCAATTCGTTCTTCCTTGGTACTGATGCAATTGATTATTGATTTAATGCCTAAAGTGTCAGGAGATGATTGATTTCCCGGTTCAGGAATACTAGCCATACTGTTGACACGACCACGTTTGCTAGACAAATTCGCAAGAGACCCACTAGGGGTGAGCTGTCTAATAAGTTGTTTGTTCTTTGAACATTTTTGCACAGGCAACGTAGGCATATCTTGATCCTCATCATCTTCCATCGAGATCTGACGCTGTAAAGAACGAGAAGGCTGACTTTCATCCCATGAATCCTTGTAAGAGCCGGTTCCATCGCTAGGAGATTGAGAGTTGTCATTGAAATCCAAAAGGTCCTCTGATAATGAGCGATTGATAGAGCCTGAGGTGTTAACTAGATCCCCTAACGAGTCCCTCACAGCCAAGGGAGAGGCAGATGGACGATCTCCAAAAACAGCCTCGAGTTCTTCATACCACGGACACTTGCGCAGAATTCTCTCTGTTGAAGTATAGTCAGAACAAAAGTCATACTAATGTAAATAATCATGGAATGAACATACCCTGAAGACTTCCATGATTATCATCTTTCTTATAACCTCCTGCCTTCTTAGCTAATTTGAACCCTTCGATTACGTCCTTTGAGAGCGTTGATACAAACTTTTCACCGGTGAGATTACCCTCCCCAGTTCCTTTTCTCAATTCATTAGTGTCTTCGAACCACCGTTCAAGGGTCTTGATCTATATGTTGAAATAAAACAAACAAGGTAATGAAATGGTCATTAGAAAGGAAACTTTGAACTACATGAAAACAACACTCACCTTCTTTAAGCACTCTCGACCCGGTCTGTTTGGATGATTCTTGCTTGCAAGAAAATCAGCTACCTTCTCGCAAATCACTATCTGCTTCTGTGTTTGCCAAGCGTTGTAGTTTTCATAAACACTGCACCATTCCACAATAAGATCCATGTCCGACTTCCCATCTTTGCTTTGAGGTATCAACCAACTTCTTTGATTTGGTTCCTGATCAATCTGGTCGTCATCTTGAGGCTTTAAATCAGATTGATTTTCAGAATCAGAATTGGGACGGGAAGGACCAATTGAATGTTTTTTTTTGGTTGTTTTGTCCTTTGGAGGTTGTCCTGGTGGTTTTTCCTTTGGAGGTCGCCCTCGAGGCTTCTTAGCTTGGTTCGGAGTGGCCATAGGAGGCGTCGGTTGGTTTGTTGATAGTGGCGTCAGAGCTGTTGAGACCGCACTCAGATGTTGTAAGCGCAACCAGTCTGATGCGGAAAGGGTCGGGACGGTGAAAGGTGTCAAGGGTAAAGCTGAAGGAGTTCCGCCGATGGATGCTCCGATAAGTTGGGATTGAGCCAAGCTGGTTGAATTGGTTTGAGTTAAAGGGGGCGTAATTTGAGAGTTTAATGGAGCACGTTGAGGTGGTGAGGAGGGTGTATCTGAATCCATGTGTATAAAATTTTTTCTCATGTGGATTTTCAGGATGTTGAGCTGTACCCACATGAAAAAACCCGCATGAAAAAACCAAAAAAAGCATGCGGTTTCATGCGGGTTTTTCATGCGGGTTTTCATACGGATTCTCATGCGGTTTTGAATTTTGTGTACCGCTAATCATCTACTAATCATAACCGTCTATATCAAAATGAAAAGCAAGACGTAATCTTGTTCACCACCTTCAAATCTTTCTTAAATGCCTTGAATAATGAATTTATAAAAATTAAAACTTTGTATTAAAAAATGACTAGAGGTAAGATATTATTTAAAAAAACCCAAAAGAACAAAACTACAACAATTATCATCATCAGATATCAAAAAAATGTAACATCATATCATGTATATATTAATCTAATGACAATAAAAAATTACGGAAAAAAAGATTAAAGTGAGAAATGAATAGATATCTACTTAAAACAAGTAAAATGTTTGTTTGTTTGTTTTTCGTTTTCATCGAGTAGAAAGCATTGAAACCGGTCTAGAATTATTTTTTGAAGGAGTGATCATATGAGATTTTCTAAATGAATCAGGTAAAGGAAGATGAGTTTGACAAGCATTCGAACAAGAAGCTGTTCGATGATGTGGTAAAGAAGATCTACGTTGAGCACGACGTTGATCAGCTTCTTCAAATAAAGCAGCTTGTTTTGAAAGCCAACTATTCCGATTTCTTAAATGAGTGGCTCGACTACAACTACTTGAACTTCCGATCCGATGATGATCATAGGCTCTTGATGGGGTTAGAGGTGTGATTGGTGCTGGTGGTATGTCTTGGATCTCATCTGGGTCTGAGTCTTGGTCATCTGGCTCTTGATCTGTTGTGGTAATCGAGGTGGGTGATGAAGAGATAAGAACTTGATCGAGTTCTTCATCTGTTATTACAGATATCGTTTCCGTAGCAGAAGAACTTGATGCAGTTTGTTGTGAGCTATTAGGTTTGATGACTTGATTTGATGCGGAATCAGCTTGATGATCTTCTTCTTCAATCTCATCTGAAATCGTTTCTGCTTCATCTTCTAAAAACATCACTCGTTCTAAAGCTCCATCATCGTTTGTTTCCGCCCAATTCCAATAATCACGACGAGCAGAATTGGCAAGTCCAAGGGTATGGCCCACAAACGGATTACGAGCCTTACTGATCCCCACAGCTACTAGAAAAGCGAACCAATGTGCTAGTGGGAAGAAGAAGAGTAAGATGGTGATTGTAAGAAAGGAAGCTAATGAGAATGGTAGGGCTGGTGTATGACCAGGTCGATGATTATTTTGAACGAATTCATTGGTTGTCCAAAGAAGTAATAAGATTGAGATCTAAATTAGACAAGAAATGGAAACCGATTCGATATTAGAAGTACACAGATTGATAGGGATGAAAAACCATCAGCATTCAGAAATCTAATCAACATACCATTCCTGTACTAGCAAACACCCAACCTAATGTTCGAATCCGACGACTAGCACTCGTGATTCCTACTAGAAAAGCTCTGGTAAAAGTCCAGTCTAGAATAAGTGCTCTGTTTGAATTAAGTAAGATGATATCATTTGGTTGACGATCTATTAGAAAATAAATTGAAGTCACTAGATCTAGTAATGCAAATGTGATTAAGATTGGCCATAGTTTGGGTCGAGGTAATGGTGATGAGTGAGAGATTGGTACATTATGAATTGTTGGTGAATCAGAATCAGAGTCGGCTTCAGAGTTTGGATTCGAATTTGGATTAGATCGTTCTTGTTGTGGTTCTTGTTGAATTGATTGATAATCTTTTGTTTTCTTTTTGCTTTGTTGTTGTTGTTGAGATGATAAGAGTGAAGTGGATTGATTTGGAATTTGTTCGCTTGCAGTTGACATTTTTGTTTGATTTAATTTTGAATTGAAGATTAAGGAACTTTTAAAAAAATGACAAGTTCAGCTTAAAGTAATCAGAACCATTTCATTTGATGAAACAAACCAATACTGAGCAGCAGCAGCAGCAGCAGCAGTAACGGAGGTTTGAGGAAATCGATTGAAAAAGATTGTCGAATGCGGTGCAAAAACTTGAACTTTCAAAATACTTGTCTGGTTGTACGTAAAACTTTAATCTTTGAATCTTCTTTCCTTTCTTGTCAAAATTAATCATTGAACTTTGCATTTCTCAACAGATGTCAATTACACGAAATCATGTCAATCAAGGTGATACCGATGATTGATTTCTTCAGTCGAAGGAGGTCGAAGGAGTCATCCATGGAGAGTTATACACCACAAGGACACTTGGATGTCCACCGGGTGTCCGATTTTTCTTGGTGGGGGACGGACGTCCCCCCACAGCACACCGAGAAACATCCGTCGGACTCCGACGTTCAGACGCCTGAGCAGAGCCCATCGGGCTGCCCAGAGCGCGCGAATCGACAACCATCTGACATCCCCCCAGGTTTGTTGTGAGGGCGCACGCAGCACCGATACACAAATGACTGATAGAGCTTCGGATCAGCTTTAGATATCTCCTAGATTGTCCTGAAAATGTCTACGGGTTGGTTTTGAGTTCACTCATTTCGGATTTGTTTTAATTAATAACGGCGCGATTAAATTTCCTATAAAGCACTGTTATAACAATAATGATTTGTAGTTCAAAAACCCAACATTGATGAAATGATACGAACAATAAAAGGTTAAAACAATAAAGTGATAAAAAAAATAAAACAATGAAATGATAAAGACCATAAAACAATGAAATGACAAAAACGATAAAACAATGAAATGATAAAAACAATAATATCTATCACTGAAGCTGATAAGAATAATTGTCTTTTTCTCAATCATTGACTTGAATCGTAAAATTTGATGGATTCATCATGTTCTGTAAATTGATCAATAACAAAGTACAAAAACTCCAGAAGAAAGAATAAAGGTCTTTCATACCTTGTTTGGAATTCAAAGCAAACTAATTCCATTAACAACGATACCGAAGTAAGAAACAGCTGTAGATAGAAAAAGACTTACGATCGATCATTCTGGAATTCATGTCTATCATTTGCCTATTGAAGCTTTGAAAGAAACATATTCATCTACATTAAAAGTTTCAAAATAGTTTCCTCAAAGTTGGTTTATCGTCAATCAGTTGAAAGACTTACTAAACAGAATTCAGAAATTATTATGAAAAATGAATTGAGTGAAGGAAAGGTTGATGTTCCGATGCGATTGAAAATCATATCAAGACTTTGGAGATTGGATTAGGTGTGAATGTAGTTGAAGAAAAAGAAAGGCGGAAGGGGATGTAGATCGAACGAGATCAAAGTGGAAGACGGAAACGAGAAGGAAGTGAGAGATGAAGGAGGATGAAGATTGCTTTGGTACAGGTCACAGTGTCAAAGTCACCATGCGATGATGATGTCATTTGACCAAATCAGTTTTAAAATTTAACTGGCCTCGGCCCTCCTCATCAAGGTCCTTTGCTGTGGTGCCAAGTGGGCACCCAGTCTTGAGACTGCTGGTGGCTGTCCTGCTTCCATCACAAGGGCAATAGATATTGGATCGCTAGCGGTTGTCTAAGGGTTGCTGTAAGGGTGTTCCATTGATTGGACATCCGTAGGTGATCCGAGCACAGTGTGCTCGAATCTCATCCTGGCGAGGACGACGCCAGAGCATCTTCAGGATGCGCCGCGGATATATTTGCATACAGACGTCGAGCCAGCGCCCCGTTAGTGGCTGTCGGGTCGTGTCCCCAATTTGGGACATGCCCGATGCCCTGACGCAAATAAGTGTCTTTGTGGTGTACTTTGCATGTCTTCTCTTGTTCATAAACACGCATCCTACTTTGTGACAGGTGGTGAGCGTGCCTCCTGGGCAGGCGCGCCCGCGTAGTCTTCAGGGCAAGAATGTGACATTAACAAAGCATCCAAGATACTCATCTGATACCTTCTTGATGTCTTTGTGCCTTGCTCCATCACTAATCAGAGCTTTGATTAAGCTTTACAACCATTACATCTCGATAAGTAATTCAACGCTTCGGCACTTCGGTAAGCTTAATTTTCCTGAAAAAACAAACAATCAAAAGTTCTTCAAGAAGAAGAACAAAATGAATAAGATTGGTTAGAATTCATTCAAGTGATTTTGTATGGTTTCCTGAGAAGTACAGCTGTTTTAGAAATAAATGCGTAATAAACATTTTTGGTCAGTTTCACTGTTCCACCTTAAGTTAATAATAATAGCAAGCACCAACCCACGAAGGGATCCAACTTCATCTTTCCCAAATTCCCGACGCACAGATCGTTGATAGCCATTCACCTCGGAATCCGCGGAAATTCATCTTGACTAAATTCAATCAGTAAGAATCAGATGATCAATTATACTTTTTGTCAATAGATAGGTTGAAATTTCCTGTACTTTCAATCTTTTCAAACTATAACTTCAACTTTACCTCAAGATGTCAGAACCTGATTACGATCCAGAAGATTTATCTTTCACCGATGGTGTTAATGAACTTCGAAGAGTTTGTGGTGGTACTTTAGAAGCTTTAGTGATCACTCTTACTTCTCATGAAAGGCGTGAGTTGAGATCTTTAAACTTTTTTACTTTTGTTTTGAAAAACTGAATGAGAAATTGATTCTACACAAATCTCTCTAGCCGATGTTCATTACTTAAGAATCTTTTTAATGACTTATCGTACATTTACGACTTCAAGAGAATTACTTGAATTCCTTATTCATCGTTATCATAACCAACCACCTCCTGGATTAAAAGCAGCTGATTTGAAAATTTGGTTTACACAAAAACAACGAGTGATTAAGATTCGGTGTGTGATCTCGTTTGATTTTCCTTCAAGCTTTACATGTTTCAGGAAAACAAATCTAATGGATTCCAATACAGGGTCACCAATGTGATCAGAACTTGGATCGAATCTCATTTGTCTAACGAAGACGCTAAATACATCTTACCGAAAGTAATCCAATTTGCTGCTCGGGATATGGTGGATACAACTTTATCTAAAGGAGTGACTATAAGTTGTGAGAAACGAGGGAGTGATATGATCTAATTTACGAAACATCAAGCTTAGTATTACGTTCTAACCTATGATTTGACTTTTCTTCTTTCAGAAATTGAGAGGACATTTACCACATTTGATGATCGCCAATCCACCTGGTGATCCACCAATCGTCATCATACCTCGAAACAAACGTTACCTCGAAGTGATTGATATAGATCCACTAGAATTAGCCAGACAATTAACCTTATTAGAATCTAATCTGTTTCGTCAAATAGCCGTACCGGAATGTTTGGCAAAGGTTTGGCAAAATAAAGAAGTGGATATGTCTAATCTTACGAGATTGATTGATATGAATAATTCAGTTTAGTACTTTTAAATCGTAGGAAATTCTTCGAAAGGGATATTGATTTCTTTGCGTTTTTGGGTTTTGGGTTTTTAGGTCACTCATTGGGTGGGTAAGACTATCCTGGATCAAAGTGAAACTAAAAAACGTGCCAATGTTATTAAACATTTCATAGCCACAGCCGAAGTAAGATCTCTTATATTCCATCATATCCAATCCAACTTTATCCCAAATGTTTCAAAACATTCATTCACGCGATTTTTATTCCTTTTTGTTTCAATTTTAAAACCTATAGAGATGTCATCAATTAAGGAATTTTTCAACTGTAATTCAAATCGTTGCTGGATTAACCATGACACCAGTTTTTCGTTTAAGAAGTACTTGGGAAAAGATTTCTCAAAAGAATTTGTCTGTTTTAAGTGATCTTGGTACACTTATGAGTCCAACTAAAAATTATATTGCTTATCGTGATATGATGAAAACTATTTCACCACCTTGTGTTCCATTTATTGGTAAGTCTTCAACATATCATCTTCAAATTTGAATCATCCCTTAAGTTGAATTATTGATATGGATCTCTCAATCATGATAGGTGTATATCTTACAGATCTAACGTTTATAGGTGATGGAAATCCTGACAATCTAAAAGAAAAACCTCATCAAATCAATTTTGATAAAAGACGTAAATCAGCAGAAGTGATGATCGAAATGCAATCGATTCAATCAATGCCTTATCATTTAATTTCAGTTCAATCTATCTTAGATTTTTTAAAAATCTCATTTGAAAACTTACCAAACGAAAAAGGTTTGTATAGTATGAGTTTAGGTATCGAACCTAGAGAAAAAGCAGATGAAAAGGTCGCTAAACTTTTATCTGAGGTAAGTTTTTTTAGAGAAAGTTTTTTTTTCTTTGAGGTTTGATTATCAGGTTTCATTTTTTGACTGATTTTAGTTCTTTTTTACATCAAGTCTGGGTTTATTTAATTGACTCTTTGGGTGTAAGCCGGAAGAACTTACAAGAACATCAACACTCGGAAGTCGTGCATACTTTCCATCAATTACTTCATTAAAGCTTCTCATTCTTCTCCACTCTCTACTGATTTTTTTTGTTCACATTTTCAATTACATGTACCACAATTTTGTCTTCATATCATATCATTTACTTCTGATCTCCTTTCTGGAATATTTCCCTTAATCAGATTGTTTCACTGATTATACCCTCAAGGTTTTATTATGGTTTGCATGTATTTGTATTATGAATCTGTTGTATTTTTTGATCATCAAATCAAGGATTTTTTACATATATAAATTAAAGTTTGTTTCATTTTTTTTATTCACAATTTTACATAGATATGCAAGCCATGAGGAAGTGAAGTTGGTGCATAAAAATTATATGATAGAAGATGGTACAGAAGAAAGCTCATTACATCTCACTTGAACGCTTGCAAAGTAAGCACCAATAATCAGGGTGAGGGACTGCTGAGAATACACCGTGCTCACGGTTGCTCCGGGAGTGACCCTTTTAGCAATGTTCAAGAACAGCTTTTGTTATAAATCTCAATGAATCACATCTTTGATATAACGTCTTGGAAAGAAAAATGTTAAGATAAGGTATAAACCATAAATGCAGGTTGATCAGAGACAGCTTATTTGGTTTGCAAAAATCAGACATTGTAAATTTCAAATTTCAAAACATTCCCTCTAAACTCAACAAAGTCTTAACTTGACAAAGTCACTAATCTCCTCCCAAATCACCAACAATCTTCACAGAAGGGGGACCAACTGAGAAAAGATACCGTGCACTTGGTTGTTCCAAGAGAGACCCTTGTGGTAAGAGCCAAAGATGAATGTAACAAATCACATGTTTGATTCCATAATCTGGAAATAAAATGCAACAATAGATGCAGTTCAGACACCACCTCTTTGGAATGGTTTTGAACCCCCGGTATTCTAAGGAATGTGGAAAGAGTGAAATCAATCAAATCACAAGTGCAGTCAGACTCACAGTGCTATCCATTGTCAGCTATTTTCAACTCATTTGATTTTCATAGGTGATGAAAATCCTGATGATTTGAAGGAAAAACTTCATTAGCAATCTTGATCAAAATCATAAATCAGTCAAAGTGATGATCAAAATCAAATCATTTCAATCCATGTTTTATCATTCAATTTCAGTTCAATCAATTTTGGATTATTTTAAAAAATTCATCAGAGGATTTACCAGATAAAAAAACAATCAATTGTATATCTATGAGTTAATTAGGTATTGAAACTAGCTAGAAAGAGAAGATAATAAGCTTTTCTAGACTTTTATCTGATATAAGTTTTTTCTTTTGCAATGGGTTTACAGGGTTGGTTTGGTTCTCAATTATCATTCTTTTAAACTGGGTCTATTTCATTTTTCCATCAAGTTTGAATTCATTTAAAGAACTCTTTAACCTTAAGCCAGAACCACTCACAAGTCTACCAAAGTAGAGTACATACATTCTGTAGCCTTTCAACTAATTTCTCAACCAAAGCTTCTCCTTCTTCTCCACTTGCCTACATGATTTTATTATTATTCATGTTTTCAATGATATACCCCAGAATTTTTTCTTATAATGTTCCATTGATATGTTTTTTGAATATTTCCCTCTATCAGAATTTGTCACTATTGATACCTCTCAATACAATTTTTTTATTCCTTTTACACACATTCCATATAGTTATTCCTATATTTTCATTTTTAAAAATTCAATTTTGTCTGTTTTTCAATTCAAGATTCCAAGTAATGATCACCTGATTAACAAAGCAAGTATTGGAGAACTTTTATGTGTCAAGATGTTGGCTTGTTTTATTCAAAAAACAGGCTTGAGATCATGACTGCATATATAATCATATGGAACATTTTTTTCTTTTTCAATAAAACTCACCATGGAAGATTTGAAAAGTTGTGGTTCTTTTTATGAGTAAAGAAGATGATGATTTTTGTTTTGATTTTGACATCATCATCCAAATTTACATCATCAATTTTGTAAGTCCATCCAAATTCAAACCCTTTGAGCTCAAGACCAACTTCAAGAAGTCTTGTACGATTTCCTTTATGTAAAAATCCACAACTCAAAGCTTCTTGACACACGATTTCCAAGCACAAATGAACGATCGATCAGCACGTTTGGTAAGTAAAGTTCAGCCCCTTAATTTGTACTTTGGCGCTGCTGCATAGCCGTACTCAAACCTACTCAAACATGGTCAACACGAAAAAAGTCAGCGAACGTCGATCGATTTGAATACAGTCCAAAATGGCAAAACCGATCCGATCCTATTCAAAAACGTGATCGAGTTTGTACATCACATTGTATGCAATTTTATTCAATCGGATTGGATGAACTGGGTTACATACATACACATGAAAAAAACCAAGAATAAATTTAACACTTTAACCAAAATTTCGAACCCTTCCCGTTCCAATTTCTCCAAGCAGATCCAAGCAGCTTCAAGTATGTACCCTTTTAAGTAGCACAGAGTAAATGTAGTAGAAAAAATAGGGGTATATCTATTGGTAAAGCTGACTCCTTGGAAATGGATCCGAGTTTTACTTTGTGGATTTGGGTTACACAATTTAGCACAATTTACACAATTTTACAATTGATCGAAGTACAAATGTACTACATAGGATTCTCAAACGTTTCCGTAAGTATAAAACGAATCAGAATCAGATCATAGAAATCTTCAATAGAAATCTGTGGAGAATTAATCAATTTACACCATGAAGAATAAGATGAATACGTATGTACGTACTGGATTTGGGTTTTTGGTAAAAATGATGTTTGTACTACTACCAGTGAATAGAATCTGTAAGGTAGGTATTTAAAAGAGTTTCAGATTTCTTTTAACCATCAAATTTCAATAGAAAATTCAAACCGATCAGAAAGATCACCTTTAAACTCCGATTCCTATCTCGTGGAATCCTGTGTGTTACTGTTGTTGATATAGAGAGAGATTCATATTGAATTTATTTTGCGTGGTTTTTTTTTTTCTTTCTGATTTCAATTTGATTATTCTACAACCATCACTCTTGAATCACCACCACCACCACCAGATCTAAATCTTACAACACATTTAAGCGAGGGCGTATGCCGAAGAATTGAATTACTTTACCTCAAAAAAACCCCGTCAAAGTTTATGTAGATGATTTGAGGTACATGATTATTGTTTATCTATCACTTTCTATTTTATTTTATATGATTTTTATTTCAATTTATTCTATTGAAGATAAGGGAAGTTTTGAATTGAAAGTTTGATGAGAATTGAATCCAAGAAGAAAAAAAAACACAACCGGTTTCGAGATCTCTTACACTCTCAAGTCTCAGATCGACCATTTTGAATACGATTCTAGAGTTTATGTAGACAGTTTGAAGGAATTGAATAGAACCTTCAAGGAAAATAACCAAAAGAGTTCTGAAGTGTTTTGAATTTCAAGATCATCGGGTTACAACTTCAAGTGTGGAAGGATCGCTTGGATTCCAATTTCAAAAGAACATCATCAAATTTTAGTTTCATATTTTGGAATCAGATACAACACTTCAAAGAAAATAATCTAATTCAAGAAGATGTTAAAGAAGAAAGTTGTGAATGAAGTAGAAGAAGAAGAATCAGAAGAAATGAGTGTTGGAAGATTATCGATTTATTCAGATTCGATCTCATCAAGAGTGAAGCTTCAAGACTACAATCTCATCAAATCTTTAAATCAAATTTCTAAAATTAATCAAAACTTACAAATCTTTAATCATTTTACAAAACCAACAACAACAACAACAACAACAACAACAACAACAACACTTCATGAACCAACCAAACCTATCGGACAAAACCACCAAGCAACTCTTCATCATTCATCTCACTTAGATTCACATTTCAAAGACCTCAACACGAACTCAAAGATCACTTCATTCCCTACCCCTTCACCATCCAATCGAACCTCAAATCTAACCGGAGAAGTAGACGATTGTGATAAATTAAATCCATTAGTCTTACATCATGCTAAGATTCAACTTCAAACTTGGATTCCTCCAATTCAACCTTATATCCTAAAATCTAAATCAAAGAAATCAAAATCAAAATCGAAATCTCATTCTCATTCTAAAGTTAAATCAGGTCAAATTCATCTAGACTCAAACTTTTGTCAGGTTCATCATTCAATCTATTTATCTATACCTGAATTATTTGATTTGATCAATACGAGAAAACCAGCCATACCGTAAGTTGTTTCTTTTGATCAAGACTTAAATCTTAATAAAAAAAAATAGATTTAGATAGGGTTTTTTGAAATTTTGGATTTTTTTCTTTATTTTTAGATCAATGTGTTTTGAATCTGTCAATGCGATCATTTCAACCAATTTCAACCAACAATCGAACCTAAACATGAACCTATGGAAACTAACTTCCCAAGAAACCCCCACGCGTACCAACAATATCCAAGTAGGGAATCTAAACCCAACCCAATCCATCAGTCAAACCATCAAGAAGTTAAAACGGATTGATTTCCTAGAAGTCTTCAAACCCAAAACACCTAACCTTCGACTAAGAGACGTAATAAGTCGGATCAGTTTCCGATTTAACGAAACCCATTCCTGTGAATTAGATTGTCGAAAAGTGATGATAATGATCAGTAAAAGTTATCAAACTTTACCACCTGGTTCAATGAAACCTATTAAGATTGGAAATTTCATCGTTAAGGCTCCTTTACCACTTATTAGACATGAAGCTTGTGATTTGAGAATCAGACCTTTGATTGGGTTGGAATGGACTGATGGTACTTGGGAAAGTTTTGATCCTACGGGACTTACTGTTCATCAGATTTTGGGAAAATGTTATTTTCATGCTTTGGATGGGTTGGGACCGGATTCGGAACCTACTTGATCATTATTATTTGATTTAGATTCACTTTATGGGAAAAAATAAATGGAATTCAATCAGGTTTCTTTTTACTTTTTATATCAGCTCTTTTTTTTGGTTAGATTTTTTTTGGATCAAATTTACTAAAGTTTGATTTTTGGAAGGATCGGTGCATTATTTAAAACAAATCCAATGGGAAACCCCCTCACAAAAAAAAACGATTGAAAATGTTTTATTTTTTTGATAATTTAAACAAGAAAATGTAAATTATGAAGATATACATAGAATGTTTTTTTTTTGGTTTATGGTTTTACTACAACATGATTCATTTTTCAGAAAAAAAAACCAAATTCAAAGGAAAACCAAAGAATAAAAGAAAGGAAAACTGAAAAAAATATAAGTGAAATATTCATCTTGAGGTCTTTCATAAGTTCAGGTGAAAGGTTGAATTGTTGGCATAGGTTTTCGAATCTCTTAAAAGGGCCCATTTGACTGTACTCCAAAAAC